CAACAAATGATTCCAGTGCTGAAAACAAGACTGAATTTGCTGATGCAAATTAATAGGGTAACAGCGTCAGTGTATTACTCGGCAAGGGCGGCGGAACATTGTAAGGACAAGTGATGTATGGAACAGGCTATTCGCTATATTCTGTGACAACAGGTGATTCCGGTAGTGGCAGCAGAACTGATTTGGCTGTTGGACATAGCTACCAAAAGACAGTGATAACTACGGGCGATTTTAATCGATGCTGATGATAACTGTGATACCACCGTCAGTATGTTGCACAGTAACGATGATGGAACATTTCGGAGTCAAGGGATATATGGAACAGGGCATTCTGTATCTTCTGTCACAAGACATGATTTCTGTCAACACATGATGCTACAAGTAACAGAGAAATCAAGCATTAAGAAAACAGGGAAAAGAATAATTTAAGAACTTAAGAAAATAAGGATCTAAATAAGAAAATAAGGATTTAAGGAATAGGGAAATTAATAAAATAGGGAAATTAAGGATTTAAGGAAACGGGGAATTAAGGATCTCAGGAAATAAGGGAAATAAGAAATAAGGATCTAAGAAAATAGGGAAAATATGATTTTAAGGATTTCAGTCCAGGCCCAATCTAGAGTTTTAATTGTAAGAAGTAAGTGTGTGGCTGAACAAGTGGGAAGCAATAGGCAGATGAAAGAGGGCTCAAGTTACTATCTCGAGACTTACTCTCATGCTGCCATCTCTCCGTCTCCATCCAGGAGCTGTAAGGAAACTCAGAATAATTCATAATAACAACTTATGTTATAAATTCAAAGTGTCAGTTAACATAGATCTTATTATCCTTACGTCCTTAAATCCTATTTCCGTAGGTCCCTATTTTCTGTAAACCTTTTAGGTTTCCTATGTTCTTAAACGCTGCGTTTACTATTGTAAAACTTCTGATAACCTCAGTCTTAGATGCCTACGCAATAACATGTACAATAATACAGTGCTAGACACTCTATTATCTAGATAACGATAACTGGACATCTATTCTGTGACAAAGATGATTTCAGTGGTTATAATACATGTACGTTGACTGTTGCAAATAGCTATTATAACACCGCCGGTATGTTGCTCAGTGACGGGGACGGACAACTTCAAATGCAAGTCATTTATAGCACAAAGTATTTAGTATCTCCTGTGACAACAGGTGATTTCAGTGGTGGTAGTAGAATTCATTTGGCTATGAGACACAACCACGATAACACAGTCGATATACTACTCCGCAACGCGGTCAGAACAATTCAAAATCAAGTCATACATGGAACTGGGCGTAATTCTGAATCGATGACCACGGGCGATTTTAATATATATGATAACGGTGATACCACGGTGATGGTGATGGAACATTTCCGAGTCAAGAGACGTGTAGAACAGGGTATTCTGTATCTCGTGTAATAATTGATACAGAATACCCTGTTCCACACATCCCCGTGATGTCACTGGTGATAAGAGATGTGTTCCGGCTCTTGCACATAACTATGGGAACATCCTCGGTGCACCATTTCAGGGTCGCGACATCTATGGAAGTTGGAATTATCTAAATTCATGCCAACGGGTGATTCTAGTAGTGGTAACAGATTCCATTTGGCTGCTGGAAATATCCATGATAACACAGTCAGGATATTGTTGGTAATCATGGAACATTTCAAGCCAAGTCATATGTGACCCACGGTATTCCCGATCTTCTGTGGCAACAAATGATTCCAGTGCTGAAAACAAGACTGAATTTGCTGATGCAAATTAATAGGGTAACAGCGTCAGTGTATTACTCGGCAAGGGCGGCGGAACATTGTAAGGACAAGTGATGTATGGAACAGGGTATTCTGTATCTTCTATCAGATTTTAGAGTAGAGTAGAGATTGAAGTACGGGATAATGTCCAAGTTCCCTGGATAAGAGATTATTTCAGTCTATGGAATGGAACTAATTTGGCTCTTACAAAAAACGATAACACCGTCAGTATACGTCGGTTGAAACACGTCGGTAACGCGGATGGAACATTTCAAAGTCAAGTCATATATGGAACAGAACTCTCTCCATGTTGTGTGGCAATAGATGCTTTTAACGATGACGACAGTAACACTCTGTCTACTTCCAATAACTATGATGACACTGTCACTACAGTATGCGTAAACTGTCTTTGAAGAAAAAACAGACCTGTATGTTTCTGCTACATGTTGTGGAATATAATCGTTCCATTTACTTCTTTCGAATATTCTCCCTCTGATTGTAGTGTTCGTTTTACTGCTTAAGAATTCATAAGACAAATTTTCTTTTAGTATCCTCATACCGTTAAAGGGAAGGACGGATGAATATTCTAGGGAAAAAAAGGATAATAAAAAATATACCTTGTTCAACTGACTCTTCACCATTGCAAACGCGGCAAAATAAGCTTGTCGGTTTCACTATTAAATCAATGTTAATTTAAAGTCAATCTTTCTTTCATATTACGATGCTTCAGTATATAAACCATAACTGTCTTCTTTAGTTTTATCATTAAAAACATCCTTATTAGTAACATCTTTGTAATCTTTAGATTCAATATCTAAAGTAGGAATACGGATTTGGTTACATATAATAATTAGTTAAAAATAAATGTACACGGTAATATATTGTTCAGAAATAATGTTTTAAAAGTAATTCTCCTTTTATACATAAGCTGTAGTGAGATTATGCAAGATTTTGTTGTTTTAGACGCATCTAAATTATACGCAAATGCAAAACATAATTACCAAGAAAAATTAGGCGACTAACATTCGTTCAAAGGAACACAAAGGTAACTGAGTATTTTTCAATTTGTTACTGATGGAGTTTGGTCTAAACTTTTAAATCGATACCTTGCATCGCACCATCGGATATATACTCATCGCTGCTGCATAGATAACCCTCGGTATACAGTATTTTTGATACCGCGGTATACTGACGGTATTCGATAAAAACGTGCGACATAGAATCATGGTTCGAAACCCTTAAATACTGACGAGGGAGCCTTTCCGATTAAAGCCGTTTGAGTTCACATTTTGATGCTCTATACGACTAATTAATGTGACAAAAATCTTAATAGGATTCGTGCCGGTGCGACTTCCTTGGCGAGTTACGGTCGATTTAGTGAAATTCGAGTTTTTCATGTTTCCACTGTAACGTACTAATTTAACAGATTAAAGAGCTGCAGCTTGCAGCGATGCTAGCTCTAGGTATAGCATCTATGGTGTAAAAATTTCAGTCTTTAATCTTATGCTCTTCACAAGAAACCGAATTTTCTGTGTTTGACGGAGTTTCGGTGCAGCCACGTGACCTACAAATGGAAAAAAATCTCGTCATCTAATGCAAGGAGGCAAACATCTCAAAAACACTCTCACAAAGAGAAGAAGAGAAATATAGAATTTAGATAATCTAGTGAATGTTTACCATTTACTAATACGTTTTTCCCGTTGTCATCGATTATTTTTCTTAACATATGACTATAGTCGTATGCTAAGAAAACTTTGAAAAGAACAGTATACTGTGCTGTTCAAATTATGTTGCCGGTGGCCATCGAAAATGCAATGGGGTGAAGAGTTCGGGTTTCCACCATTCCAAAGACTTGGAAGCACATTTTAATAATCGATATTAATTCGAAAATATTTTTCTAAAGTATGTTTTAGAGAAGATCTTTGGAAAACCAACTCATAGCTTAAAAACTTCAAGTATGAATACTTTTGTTTTTCTTTATGGAGGATAACCCAAAGTATACTCTTCAAAATGGGAGTCAAGCGAGGTCTCGGAAATGGGATACACCCATTTCCTTGCAGGCTCAGGACTGATATTTAGTGGCTTCAGGTAGTCTTGAAATCGGATGAAACATACGTAACTGACCATGCTGGACCTGCGCACAATGTTTATTTTGAGAATAAAATTCAAAAATCAAATAAAAATCGAGTTTTATCAAAATCGAAGGTTCCGGACTGTTTTCACTTAATATTAAAAAATTCACAATTCAAAATAAAATGTTCTTCACGGCTTCGGGTCATCTACCTAGAAGTCCTGATTTAAGCGATAGCGACAGCCGTCAAAATCGGACAAAATCAGTCGGTTAGAGGAAGCTGAAGCGTTTTCGGACAGATATGCCGATTTTTCAACGATCTTTGCTTTTGAGTATTTTTGCCCTAGCCCAGGGTGTTGTATATGCTTTGTATGATTTCCTGCGTTGTTATGGATTCACCGAGGCAACAGGGATCTATATGGGTTAATTTTTTGCAGCTTGAGATAAAGGTAGGGACTCATTTTCGCTGGTTTCCCATCTGTTACTAAGGTTACACTGGTAAAGCTTAGTAATGAAAATCAGTTTCAATCAAAAACTCAAAATTGTCATGCGATTCGAAGTGCCTGTCCGCAGACAGGAGTCTATCTATGAGTCATTGCACGAGAAAGGCGACCGTTTCTCACAGAAGCGTGCTTAATCATCACTTCAGATTTTTATCTAACCGGTCTCATGTTGTAGAGCATGTTCAAAAATCTATAGATCCAAATTTTTAAGCTTCCCGAATTTTTCGGTCTGTAGATATGAAATTTTTTCGACTGGAGTGAAGTTCGAGAAGTTATACGCGTGACGTACATTTCGTTTTTCTCGTAAACGAGAAGAGATGGAATGTTTCTTCAAGGTAAGTAGTACCTAATGTCTACTATATATAGTAGACATTAGGTACTACTTACCTTGAAGAAACATTCCATCTCTTCTCGTTTACGAGAAAAACGAAATGTACGTCACGCGTATAACTTCTCGAACTTCACTCCAGTCGAAAAAATTTCATATCTACAGACCGAAAAATTCGGGAAGCTTAAAAATTTGGATCTATAGATTTTTGAACATGCTCTACAACATGAGACCGGTTAGATAAAAATCTGAAGTGATGATTAAGCACGCTTCTGTGAGAAACGGTCGCCTTTCTCGTGCAATGACTCATAGATAGACTCCTGTCTGCGGACAGGCACTTCGAATCGCATGACAATTTTGAGTTTTTGATTGAAACTGATTTTCATTACTAAGCTTTACCAGTGTAACCTTAGTAACAGATGGGAAACCAGCGAAAATGAGTCCCTACCTTTATCTCAAGCTGCAAAAAATTAACCCATATAGATCCCTGTTGCCTCGGTGAATCCATAACAACGCAGGAAATCATACAAAGCATATACAACACCCTGGGCTAGGGCAAAAATACTCAAAAGCAAAGATCGTTGAAAAATCGGCATATCTGTCCGAAAACGCTTCAGCTTCCTCTAACCGACTGATTTTGTCCGATTTTGACGGCTGTCGCTATCGCTTAAATCAGGACTTCTAGGTAGATGACCCGAAGCCGTGAAGAACATTTTATTTTGAATTGTGAATTTTTTAATATTAAGTGAAAACAGTCCGGAACCTTCGATTTTGATAAAACTCGATTTTTATTTGATTTTTGAATTTTATTCTCAAAATAAACATTGTGCGCAGGTCCAGCATGGTCAGTTACGTATGTTTCATCCGATTTCAAGACTACCTGAAGCCACTAAATATCAGTCCTGAGCCTGCAAGGAAATGGGTGTATCCCATTTCCGAGACCTCGCTTGACTCCCATTTTGAAGAGTATACTTTGGGTTATCCTCCATAAAGAAAAACAAAAGTATTCATACTTGAAGTTTTTAAGCTATGAGTTGGTTTTCCAAAGATCTTCTCTAAAACATACTTTAGAAAAATATTTTCGAATTAATATCGATTATTAAAATGTGCTTCCAAGTCTTTGGAATGGTGGAAACCCGAACTCTTCACCCCATTGCATTTTCGATGGCCACCGGCAACATAATTTGAACAGCACAGTATACTGTTCTTTTCAAAGTTTTCTTAGCATACGACTATAGTCATATGTTAAGAAAAATAATCGATGACAACGGGAAAAACGTATTAGTAAATGGTAAACATTCACTAGATTATCTAAATTCTATATTTCTCTTCTTCTCTTTGTGAGAGTGTTTTTGAGATGTTTGCCTCCTTGCATTAGATGACGAGATTTTTTTCCATTTGTAGGTCACGTGGCTGCACCGAAACTCCGTCAAACACAGAAAATTCGGTTTCTTGTGAAGAGCATAAGATTAAAGACTGAAATTTTTACACCATAGATGCTATACCTAGAGCTAGCATCGCTGCAAGCTGCAGCTCTTTAATCTGTTAAATTAGTACGTTACAGTGGAAACATGAAAAACTCGAATTTCACTAAATCGACCGTAACTCGCCAAGGAAGTCGCACCGGCACGAATCCTATTAAGATTTTTGTCACATTAATTAGTCGTATAGAGCATCAAAATGTGAACTCAAACGGCTTTAATCGGAAAGGCTCCCTCGTCAGTATTTAAGGGTTTCGAACCATGATTCTATGTCGCACGTTTTTATCGAATACCGTCAGTATACCGCGGTATCAAAAATACTGTATACCGAGGGTTATCTATGCAGCAGCGATGAGTATATATCCGATGGTGCGATGCAAGGTATCGATTTAAAAGTTTAGACCAAACTCCATCAGTAACAAATTGAAAAATACTCAGTTACCTTTGTGTTCCTTTGAACGAATGTTAGTCGCCTAATTTTTCTTGGTAATTATGTTTTGCATTTGCGTATAATTTAGATGCGTCTAAAACAACAAAATCTTGCATAATCTCACTACAGCTTATGTATAAAAGGAGAATTACTTTTAAAACATTATTTCTGAACAATATATTACCGTGTACATTTATTTTTAACTAATTATTATATGTAACCAAATCCGTATTCCTACTTTAGATATTGAATCTAAAGATTACAAAGATGTTACTAATAAGGATGTTTTTAATGATAAAACTAAAGAAGACAGTTATGGTTTATATACTGAAGCATCGTAATATGAAAGAAAGATTGACTTTAAATTAACATTGATTTAATAGTGAAACCGACAAGCTTATTTTGCCGCGTTTGCAATGGTGAAGAGTCAGTTGAACAAGGTATATTTTTTATTATCCTTTTTTTCCCTAGAATATTCATCCGTCCTTCCCTTTAACGGTATGAGGATACTAAAAGAAAATTTGTCTTATGAATTCTTAAGCAGTAAAACGAACACTACAATCAGAGGGAGAATATTCGAAAGAAGTAAATGGAACGATTATATTCCACAACATGTAGCAGAAACATACAGGTCTGTTTTTTCTTCAAAGACAGTTTACGCATACTGTAGTGACAGTGTCATCATAGTTATTGGAAGTAGACAGAGTGTTACTGTCGTCATCGTTAAAAGCATCTATTGCCACACAACATGGAGAGAGTTCTGTTCCATATATGACTTGACTTTGAAATGTTCCATCCGCGTTACCGACGTGTTTCAACCGACGTATACTGACGGTGTTATCGTTTTTTGTAAGAGCCAAATTAGTTCCATTCCATAGACTGAAATAATCTCTTATCCAGGGAACTTGGACATTATCCCGTACTTCAATCTCTACTCTACTCTAAAATCTGATAGAAGATACAGAATACCCTGTTCCATACATCACTTGTCCTTACAATGTTCCGCCGCCCTTGCCGAGTAATACACTGACGCTGTTACCCTATTAATTTGCATCAGCAAATTCAGTCTTGTTTTCAGCACTGGAATCATTTGTTGCCACAGAAGATCGGGAATACCGTGGGTCACATATGACTTGGCTTGAAATGTTCCATGATTACCAACAATATCCTGACTGTGTTATCATGGATATTTCCAGCAGCCAAATGGAATCTGTTACCACTACTAGAATCACCCGTTGGCATGAATTTAGATAATTCCAACTTCCATAGATGTCGCGACCCTGAAATGGTGCACCGAGGATGTTCCCATAGTTATGTGCAAGAGCCGGAACACATCTCTTATCACCAGTGACATCACGGGGATGTGTGGAACAGGGTATTCTGTATCAATTATTACACGAGATACAGAATACCCTGTTCTACACGTCTCTTGACTCGGAAATGTTCCATCACCATCACCGTGGTATCACCGTTATCATATATATTAAAATCGCCCGTGGTCATCGATTCAGAATTACGCCCAGTTCCATGTATGACTTGATTTTGAATTGTTCTGACCGCGTTGCGGAGTAGTATATCGACTGTGTTATCGTGGTTGTGTCTCATAGCCAAATGAATTCTACTACCACCACTGAAATCACCTGTTGTCACAGGAGATACTAAATACTTTGTGCTATAAATGACTTGCATTTGAAGTTGTCCGTCCCCGTCACTGAGCAACATACCGGCGGTGTTATAATAGCTATTTGCAACAGTCAACGTACATGTATTATAACCACTGAAATCATCTTTGTCACAGAATAGATGTCCAGTTATCGTTATCTAGATAATAGAGTGTCTAGCACTGTATTATTGTACATGTTATTGCGTAGGCATCTAAGACTGAGGTTATCAGAAGTTTTACAATAGTAAACGCAGCGTTTAAGAACATAGGAAACCTAAAAGGTTTACAGAAAATAGGGACCTACGGAAATAGGATTTAAGGACGTAAGGATAATAAGATCTATGTTAACTGACACTTTGAATTTATAACATAAGTTGTTATTATGAATTATTCTGAGTTTCCTTACAGCTCCTGGATGGAGACGGAGAGATGGCAGCATGAGAGTAAGTCTCGAGATAGTAACTTGAGCCCTCTTTCATCTGCCTATTGCTTCCCACTTGTTCAGCCACACACTTACTTCTTACAATTAAAACTCTAGATTGGGCCTGGACTGAAATCCTTAAAATCATATTTTCCCTATTTTCTTAGATCCTTATTTCTTATTTCCCTTATTTCCTGAGATCCTTAATTCCCCGTTTCCTTAAATCCTTAATTTCCCTATTTTATTAATTTCCCTATTCCTTAAATCCTTATTTTCTTATTTAGATCCTTATTTTCTTAAGTTCTTAAATTATTCTTTTCCCTGTTTTCTTAATGCTTGATTTCTCTGTTACTTGTAGCATCATGTGTTGACAGAAATCATGTCTTGTGACAGAAGATACAGAATGCCCTGTTCCATATATCCCTTGACTCCGAAATGTTCCATCATCGTTACTGTGCAACATACTGACGGTGGTATCACAGTTATCATCAGCATCGATTAAAATCGCCCGTAGTTATCACTGTCTTTTGGTAGCTATGTCCAACAGCCAAATCAGTTCTGCTGCCACTACCGGAATCACCTGTTGTCACAGAATATAGCGAATAGCCTGTTCCATACATCACTTGTCCTTACAATGTTCCGCCGCCCTTGCCGAGTAATACACTGACGCTGTTACCCTATTAATTTGCATCAGCAAATTCAGTCTTGTTTTCAGCACTGGAATCATTTGTTG